CTTTCATCAAGTCTGTAAAATAACAGCCATAGTATTTATTTTTGAGCTGCATTTTCAACTCTAACTTGAAAAAAAAAAATAATGAATGTTTTAAGGAGGTATATTTACGTGGTGACTTTTCCAACTCCAGTTCCCAGCTTAAGACTTTGTCGCTTCGCCTCCCTAAAAGAATATACAATCATCATTCATTGTTGAAATGTGATTTATAATGAAATATCTCTCCCCTTGTACTCCAAATAATAATGTAAAAGTAAACTCCTTGTAATCAGTCAACTGGCCTGAGAATTAGGGAAATAATCATTAAGAGGATTTTTGAAAGTGAAAACTGCAAATTCTCACCAACAAAAAGATATTGATGGCAATTTGTTTGGAGGACTAGTCTTAAGTTCCTAGGGATTTAAGGTTTAATTGCGTTCTATCATTACTTTAAAGTTTTCCTTGGATTAACTTACTTCTGTGGTTTACGGTTGTCTTGCACAAATTGTCTCAAAGCTTTCACAACTTCATTTGGGTGAATAAGGTTCTTCATTTCTGTTGGAACAAATACTTTTTTTTTTTTTTACCAAATATCATTTCATTTTTACAGGATGAAGGAAAATGAATTTTAGCTAGGACTATTTCAGATGTTGTGCCAAGGATTGTATTTGAGATAAACAGATAAATACTTGACACAAAATGCCTGGTTAGCCCTTTGATCCCTAGGTGTAGAGTGACCAGCATCTAATTTCTCCTTTCAATAACACCCCTGAATCACACACTAGGATCATGAGAATGAAGGAAACGATCACTATCTAAAAAAGCTCTTGACTGTTGAGCAAATTCTCCTGAAATAAGTGGAGACCAGTATGGAGAAATTATGTATACTGATGTGCCCCTGATAAAGGTGATGATCAAAACAACTCTTACCTAACAAATGCGCTTTGACAGATGGTGAATTGCTTGCCTTCTCGTCCACACTCAACACTACAGATCCGTCCTCATCTTCCTTTCCCCTTTCATCCATTTCACCAGCTGTTTCTTCTATGGTTGCTTTTTCTCTTGCCATTTCACCATCCTTCATTCCTTTCTCACTCCCTTCTGTTGCTTGTTCATCCTCTCCATGACCAAGAAAGTAGTTTGACAGCAGATAGATGTCATCTTCTGTATCTACACCCAGTGCCTTCAAAACAAAATAAAAAGAAAGATTAATCAAGTGAACATAGTTAAAAATTGGTAGTGATAATTACCGGTAACAGGTCTGAAGTAACTGTTACATCAACACCGACATTAAGTACCACTCAAAGTAATTTGATAGTGCCTCAAAACTCAGTCCTTAATTCTTGAACCTTGATTCTCGAAAACTTTGAGGATCGAAGCTCAAGTTGAGTTTCCAGACTCTCAAGTCAAGTTTTGATTCTTTCAAGTCAAGTTTCAAGACGGGAGAAAAAAGGAATTCTTGTGCAATTGCTCTTTTTCATGACTAGAAGCTTCCTATCTTTAAATGAATTTACAGGATAAAAAAACATTACAGTTAGATGGATAGATAGCTTTAGATAGATAGATAGCTTTATTAGGAAGTAAAATCATTGCAGCCCCCGGGCCGGCTGAAATACGACTTACTTTACAATGGGAATAAATTATCTCTTACTCTAAGATAACTAAAATAAAAGCCGCAAAGTGTAATCTACAATAAAATACAATAAGAGAAGTATCAAAAACCAAAATACAAATAATTAAGATAGCTACTAATAATTAAAACTGTTCGCCATGATAAATGTGTTTTTGAACCTA